TATTGTTTAGTTGATGTGGCCTCTCGTGACATGTCAGCCAGAGTGACGGGATCTCAAGAGTAGCCTCTGAGAAAGTTGTTGGTTTTAATAATATCCCATTGCAAAGCTAAAAATAGTCAGCCCCCGGGAAAGCAGACACAATCGAAGGATATGGAATTGGCCCAGCAGTGCAGGAATAAAAACCCATGACAGTTCTCTTGCGTTTGAATGGTCGCCTTGGCAGATAGAGCTCCTTTGTTTTGGTGCCAGTAGCAGTGGGCAGTTTCTAGGAAACATGTGTTTATTCTCTCAGGACCACAATTAATGGACTCAAGAAATCCAGACTCCACCGAACAGCACCAAATAAGTTAGAAAACTTGCCCTCAGTCATACTATGACTATATAGGACAGGGGTGCCCAACCTTTTTTGAACCGAGAGCTACTTTTAAAGTTGACAGTCTGTCGAGATCTACCAGTCCAAATAGAGAGGCGTAGCCTACTACCAGGTAAATACACACTTCTACTTGTATAAAACTGACCTTCGTAAGATTAATACTCCATAAAATAATGCAGATCCTTTATCTTACCTCTTTCTAATCTACACACATACAAGTATTTAACTGAAGTTACACAACAGTGTTGTTGATACAGAGTTGGAGTTTATTCACACGTCACATACTACAGTGGGTAATGTTTTCAAGAAACATTGAACAGTGCTGCCACATATGACACAGGAAAAAAAGAAAATACTCTGAACCCTTTCTTTGCCATTATATAAAAATAGTGTTGCTACAAAAGTATAAATGAGGCTTACTAATAAGACAACTGAGATCTGAAGCTACAGGAATCTGCTGCAACAGTGCAATAAAAAAGACAAAATTAATAGAATCAAACCCTTTTTTTGTTGCATTTTAGTAGATTATAAAAAGAAATGCCTGTAAAATAGGATGCAAGCAACACTAGTTTCTTAACCTGAATTGATAATAGACTATAATCAATTTAAGTTTGCATTCTTATACCATGTTGTACAATAATTATAATGAATAAGTTCAAACAAACTAAAACGTACAGCTGATTAATAACGGTATCTAACTTGAGTTTTTATCAAAAACCTGTTGAAATGCTACTGTTATTTTTACTGTCCCCAAAAGCGCATCGGCAGCCTCCAGGAATGCTTCTTTCACAACTTCGCCGTCTTTGAAAGACTTCATGTGTTTCGCAAGAACGTGACTGACACGATAAGATGCTCTGGTAGCAGCCTTGCTCTTGTTGTTGGGCCTGGTGGAAATGGACTGCTGTGCATTTAGCTGTCCTTTCAGGCCCCTCCCCTTTTGGAGCGTAGGGCAGAATCAGGAGGGAATTCCGTCTCGTAGCGTTTGTGCACTGTTTTGAAATGCCGCTCCGAAATTACCCTTCTTCGATAAAGCCACGCTCGCATTGCAGATGAGACAGATGGACTTTGAATTGGAATAAATACAAAAATAATCATCCTCCCACTCGGAGTGAAAATTATATGTTTTGCTTCTGCCATAATTGCGGTCTTGTTTGTGTGCGGACTGTCACTCCTGTTGACATGGGCTGCTTCTCAGGTCGACTATTTTAATTTCCTCGCTCCTCGGTCCTCGGTCTCACCGGAAGTTGATTTGCCTGCGCCATCTTGAGTACCGTCCCATGGCTCTTATTTCTGCCGGAGGACCGAGGATCGAGGAGCGAGGAGCGATCATGGAGGAGCGATAACCGAGGTACCACCAGACCATCCTCCGATGAAATCCTCAGATACTCGCCCCGCCCCCTTACTGTGTATCGCTCACTGATTGGACGATGCAGCGCATGCACTGATCTGATGCTTCTTGACATGAGAGCAGAGTGAAGAAAATACATGAATCTCACGGGAATCACTCCTCAGTTTATACCGTGTTTTGTTTCAATTCATGTATCATTTAGTTACAAATATGTGATATATCTGAACAACAAAGTGGTCAAAAATCATTTAATTCATTTTTTGGAAACATTTTCATGATCGCTTTTTTCGTTTTACATTTTCATTTATTGTCATTTCCATTCAGTCAGTCATTAAGTGCTATTAAAATGTTAATGTGCTACATATCCAAACAAACAAAGTGTGCAATCCAATGAATGTTAATCTAACTGGGTTTTGATAGATAACATATCTCTTTTTTCTTCTCTCAATTATTTTATTTATTTTGTGCACTCTAATCAATATTAATCAAACTATTGTTCGTTTATACATTTTAAGAATGGCGTTTATCTTTTTTGAGAATGAGTTCTTATTGTATTTAATGTATTTGGGTCTACAACAGATGATACAAATGTTTGTGTCAGTAAATGTGTACTAACAGAGGCGGGGGTGTTTGTGAAAATAACGGGAACAGAGCTGCTGTCAGACGATCAGCTGTGCAGCGTCATCACAAACGGACGTCGCTTCACGTGACGCTCCGGAGGAAAGGACGTCCCATTGCTCTTAAAACTCATTTCCCTGCTTCTCGTGGTTTCCTTGCGTCTCTCCATGCTTCCCTGGTGGGAGGGACTAAACGCAGGGAAACGACGCAAGTGAGGGAAGCAAGGATTTCATTTAATCGACCTGAGAAGCAGCCACGGACAACGTTAGCGAATTAGTGCACTGCCCACTAGCCACGCCCCGACACATGGGGTCATGCCGGCCAATCACAAAGCTTTGATGCGTTCAAGTGCATTATTCTGGCCCAGGAAGATTATGTTATAGGACATTAACGATAAAACTGAATATTGTTGTTCTATTTTTAGACACATCTCGCGATCGACTGGGAATCTCCCCGCGATCGACCGGTCGATCGCGATCGACTGGTTGGGCACCCCTGATATAGGAGAACAGTAGGATATTTCCACAGCTGAGCATCTGTTGGATCAAAGAGATGTTGAAGAGATCTTTGGTCGATAAAACCCTTTACAGCTAAGCTCCTGGTTTAAGTGTCATTGATAGAATGAGGAGCTACAAATCTGTGTTTCAGCTACAACTAATAACATTTTCTCAATAAGGTTTTTTTTCTATCACCTGTTAGTTTTCTAAAGCCCAACGTGACAACATCATCAAATGTTCATTTTTGTCTGTCCTACCGAGCAGTTCCAAATATATTATGTTTATAGTCACTTAAGCTAAGGAAAGAAGCAAATTGTCAACATTTAAAAGCTGGAATTTGATATTTGCTTTGCATAATAATTTTAACAATGAAATATCATTTTAATATTTTCAGATAGATTTTCTGTTAATCGTATACTTTATGAATTCACTAAATGTTCCTGATCTTGAGAACCTGAAAAGTTGTATTGCTGAGTTGACTTACACGAATGTGCCTTGTAGTTATGTGCATACAATAAACATATTAAGACTACATGAAACACACAGGAAAAGTACAATAACAAAAACAACATTTTTTTTATTGTTTTTTTTAAAAAGTCGTACAGATGGAAATATAAAATAATGTGCTAAAGTGATATTTGTAAATATATATAATCTCAACTTCTCTGGCATAATTCTCATTTTAGAAATATCACTTGGATAGTGTTGTCGCCACGGTTCACCACGCTGCAGGGTTCTACACAGTTCGACACAGCTACTTGAGCTCCTCAAACATGATTCTTTATAGTAGAGGACATTCTTCCGCAGCTTCTGAGTTCTAAAGTGTGACGCAGTTTGATTGCCATATTTGGCAGCCCCCGGGGGTTTACAGGCAGATCTTTATAAAGCTGGATCTGTGCTCAGTGGCCTTAAAAGGAGCTGGAAAGGGACCCAGCACCTGTTTTACATCTGTAGCAGTGAAGCCTGATAACAGAGCTGCAGCATTCAGAGCAGACAGAGAAAAGGTTGGAGAAGAAGTTTAGGGGGTTTCTTTGCTCTGGTGTTAACGAGACGATTACCAATCTGCTTCAAATTACATTGCATTTATTCCTTAATAAAGATATTGAGATTGTTCAGTGTTCGTAAGTTTTGTGTCGTACAAAGCAGACACAGCTCTGCGTTCTTCAGTGATTACGCACAAAGCAGCTTAAGTGCAGAATCACAACGCTGTCATGTGAAAGGATTTGCCTAGTTACCATGGCGATATGATGATAACAACGGATAGTCCATACAGTTCAGGCGCTAAAACCTGCCTCTTGAAAAGACTGATGAGAAACAAGGGATTGGTAAAGACTTCATGTGAAATCTGCTGAGCCAAGTCTGTGAAACACTGAGGCATGTTTTCCCCCAGATCTTCTCAGTTTCAGTTTTGAAACATGATATCAGTGTTTAGCCGGGCAGTCTCCCATCCAACATTGTGGACATAACCGACAGAGACATAGATGGAGACAAACCAGTGACTCAAGCATCCTGTTTAAATGTGTCCTCTTTTAATGTTCTAGCACTTTGCGCAGCACATTCCGTTGAATTAAGTGTAAACTATGCCTTAATTGTACTATTATTTCCTCTGCTATTTTCAGTTTTCTGCTCCAACATTTCAGCTTTCATTCAATTAATTCAATAAATCACATTTTATTTATACATCCAATATCACATTTCCATATTTGTCTCAGGGGGCTTTAAAGTGTGTACAGAATATGTCACCATCTGATCTTAGACCCTACCAGTTGATAAGGAAAAGAAGAAAACTCACAATCAATGGGGGGGAAATGGAGAAAACCTAAAAGTCACAACATAGACGACCCAAATTAAACATTTTTAAAATGAACTTGTGTTAAAAAAAACATGGGCGTCACCCAAGACTACATCAACTGATACTGAGTTAGTAACTTGCATTTATGGAACATGATACAGATAGAGAAAAAGGAGAAGTAGGAAAAGAGAGTTGAAAGATAAAAGGTGAAAGTTCCACAAAAGTCTAAGCCTAAAGGAGCATAACTAGGGGCTGGTTCAAGGCAAGTCTGAGCCAGCCCTAACTTTAAGCTTTATCCAAAAGGCAATCCACGTGTCACATATATGTATTAGCTAATACAATGGCTAATGGAACATGTTGTGTCTCTTCTAGCCCAGCACTCTGCCTCAGGGCACAGTGAACATGAACATCTGTGTGGATGTGGTTGACGCCGAGCCAAAGACGGGTCAGAAGAACTCGCTGTGCATCATGACCCCGGACCAGGAGTACTTCATCAGAGGAGAGAATAAAGAGATCATCAACGGGTACGTTTTCTTGATTTATCTGCTTATGCGTTTGATTGGATAAGGTGAGCGCACACACAAATATCAAAACCACCTTACTCCTTCTCCAGGTGGAGTGAACAGCTGGTGGTCTACCCCCGAACCAACAAACAGAACCAGAAGAAGAAACGCAAGGTGGAGCCTACGACCTCTCAGGTAATACTCATTACACAATCTCTCAAAGGGTTCTTCTCACTTTTCTTGTTTCTCGTTTCTGACTATTTCATGTGTTCATCTGCAGGAGCCAGGTCCAGCTAAGGTAGCAGTGACCGGCTCTGGCATCCCAGAGGCAGAGAAGGTTCCAGACTCAAGCTCTATCATCTGGCAGGAGGAGCTGAACCAGAGAGAGGCAGAGGGGGCTTCAGTCTGGGCCCCCGCTGACCTGCCTCCAGGTTCTCCTCAGACCCAAACAGGTGAGGAGGAATAACACATTTGAATAAAACAGAACTCGGTATAAAGTGGTGCAGTGGTGATGTATTTATTTAGGCACACCCCGGAAGTTAGCTTTGCAAGGGTTCCCTCAACGAAAAGCAACGGGATTTTAACATTGGATTTTGGAATATTGCAGAAAAAAGATCGGTGGCACATGGTTATGACACTTGAAACGTAAATGCAATCGCCTGCAGTAAATAGTGAATGTAATGCTATAAACAAATGACATCATGGTTGCATGACTTCAAGTCAACACTGCTAAGCTAAAGGCGGCTAATCTTCGGTGCAATGACGATTAGTAGTCACAGTTAGACATTTGTTGGCAACTGCTGTTTTTGAGACACATAGAAGCTTAAGACAATTACAAGTGAGGTATTCACTGACTTTTTTTATGTTGTAGAATAAAAGTAAATCTCTTTAGGTTCCGGCCTTTAATCAAGGCATCTAACCAAAAACTCAATAGAAAATCTATTGACGTTCAGAAGAGGGAACCCAGAAAGCAAAACTGCTAACTTATTTCCTGGTTTGTGACTCATTCCTGCGCCGCTCTTTAGTGTTTATATACACATGAAATGAATACAAAAGTTAAACAAAGGTTTTGGAGGTATTAAATGTAAAGAAAAATACAATTAAAACACATAACAAAGGAAAGCTAAGGATTTGTAGTTATAAAAGTTAACAGGTCATGGCGTGTCCTGTGCCTCTTGTTTAGGAGGCTCTGACGTTAGCTCGGTGAATGGTGACGAGGTGGACCGGGGCAGCCTGGCGCTGCATGGCTCTGCCCCCCAGCCCCCCAGGGACCTGCTCTCCCCGACGGGCTCCTGCTCCAGCCTGGGGGGCATCCCGCGCTGCCTCTCCCCGGCCCCCAGCGACCCCTTCCCCTCCGGCAGCTCCCTGCTGTCTAACGGCTCCCACATCAGCGGCTCCGTCAGCTCTCTGGACTCTGACGCCAGCGGCAGCACCGTGACCAGCAACGAAAGCCACCCGGCGCACCAGAGGGGGGGCCACGCCTTCAGCCACCACGACACGCCGCGCGCTCGGAGGCTGGAGGCCGAAGCCAGGAAGGCTGAGAAGAGGAGCCGCTACAGGAGCCCCGAGAGGCAGGAGAGGGACGCCGTCCTCAGCCCCGAGAGGAGGTCAGTGCCCATAACAGTACCGAGAATGTCCCTTTTATTGTCTCATCTTCTTCATTTTGAATAGACTTGCCGTTACAGGAGGTAATAAAGGTTTGCAATAAGAGAGAACTATGAATTGAAACCCTCTCCTTCTTATTTTCCTCTTTTTTTGTAACAGAGGTGTACATCGATATAGTGAGGGACAATCCAGCAGGTTTTATTACAGACAAACAAACCAAAAATTACAATATTTAATTAAAAAAAACATTCAGACTTGGTAAATCTATGTACCATTAACTATATTTACTTTTTTCATAGAGTTTTATAGTCTCTTGCCTCTCTATATATCAGTGGTTCCCAACCTTTTGACTAAATCACTGTCGGTAAGCTTTAGAGACATGTTGCAACAAGCAAACATAGTTTATTTTGAAGGCAGAAGCTATTCATTTAGACTAAAACTACTGGCATTGTTTGATCATTTGTTTAAAGTATTTTACATTTTGTAGTTTGTAACCTGAAAAGGACCTTATTAGATATATAAGCGACAGGATAGGTGCTAGCTTATGGTTCTGGAGTACATTTTGTACATTTATTTTTTGTACTGGGCAGAAACATCTTATTTTATCTTATTTTTGTATCTTATCTTTTAAGTGTTATCTGACCTCCATAAAAGCTGAAATGCAAAATGTCCTCAATGCAACACCATGCTTTCAGATAACCCTAATGACACTAGAGGACAACTAAGTCAACTGCAGTGTGTCTTTTACTCTGTAAACTCCCTAAAGTTTCATTTTAGGATTTAGTTTTGTCCTTTAGTTTTCCGGTTCACCAAAAGTACAGCCATTCACTGAAAAGACTTGAGATAAAACTCTGGTTTATATAAGTTGTAAATGCTTGTTTAAAAAAAAGTTTGTGTAATGGATCCACCCATGCCTGACGGTGAGGCTTGAACAAGAAGGACACATGCACACTTTAGAGGAAGAGCTTTACTGAGCCTGATAACCCTTAGCTCTCCTTGATGATAGGTGAAGTATTCAATCAGCCTTATTTAACCTGATCAACCGGGTCAGTGGACTGCTGTCTTGGAACCTCACCACCATACCCAAACACTGTGGGCTCAAAATACTTAGCTTATCCTTTTAAAGGCACTTACACAGACACACAACCAGTTTAGTGACGCACAAACTACCAAAGTTCTTGATGTGCACACAAACACATCAGGTTTAAATAAAGTAAAGTAAAGATATGTTACCTAATAATCCCTCCTTACTAACTGTAGGGGGGAAATGTATAAACACACAGTCCCTGTACTTTGTGTTCAGTATTCTGCCTTTCTGAACTGATGCTGTTCATAAAGGGGTCACAGGTCTTACACAAACAAACCAACCGGGTGAGAGGGGGGTCATCATTTCCCTTCCACAGTCAGCTTCCTGCTGCATTCTGTCCCTCCATCCATGCCAGCTGTGAAAGGAAAAAGAGGGGGAGAGGAAAATAGGAGGAGTGCCCACCTACAGCCCATAAACACCTTACTGGTCCACTTGAAACGCTTTGGGTTTTCAGAAACACACGCTCTGTCTAAACAGGCATGCCCATACCCAGCCAGGGAGGCCTTGACCTTTCTGACCTTTTCAGATATGAACCTGATTACATATGTACGGGTCAATGGGTGAATACTGATGCAGCTAGATATCTCTGTCCTCTGTTCGAAGGTGTAGCATGACGGATGATGAAGAATGGCTGTCCTCAGTCTGTTCCAAATAATTGTACACATTTGAATTGGCCTTATTATGCTTTTGGGAGGTTTCCCTTCCCTGTAGAGTCCTCTATAGGTTTTCATGCATTGAAATGGTCTGCAAAGGCTCAAATCCCAAAGTTCCCTTCAGGGGGAGTTTCTCTTTCTCTCTCTTTTTCATTCTATCCTGTGCAGTTGAATTTGATTAAATAGGCGCTAGTATTTGCAATGAATTATGAGATTGTGTAAAGAAACAATGGTCAACCTAACACACTGTTTTAGATTGAACATGGCCCTATTTAGCATAATAAGAAAAGATCCATTCAAAAGGGCTTGGCTGTGGATTTGATGGTGAATATGATGCTACCTCATAGTTTTGGGTTAAAGCACCGCCAACTCTTTACTCTGAATATTTCCTTTAAGCCTATCTGCAAAATAACTCAAGAGAAAAAGATCTCACAGTGGGGCTTTGGCCTCACACTGTCCTCTTCCTCTCCTTCGTTCCCTTTTAAGGACTGCAGCTTTCGCTCAAGAGTCCCCAAATAAGGGCACCATTTAGGCAAATGAGTAATATAATATTTCTCGCTGCCTCTCACCCTCTTCCTCTCTGGTGCAGATTCCTCTGTCATGTAACAAAAGGCCTGTGTGGGAACCTGCCAGAGTTGGTAAGATACTGTGTTACAGTTTGAGGAAGGCTACAGATGGACAGAAGTGAGCGGAGGCTGCTGTTTGGACCTTTGGTCCAATGCACCCTCCAGATCTATCTAGGGGGAGAGAGGAAGTGGCAATTGAGAGAACAAAGAGATTAAACGATATAAATAAATCTGCTAATAGTTTCATTTCAACATTTAATCATTAGACATTCAGCCGAGTGCATAGATCGACACTCTAGATGCAATAAATACATGTAAACATCAGTCACAACACATTTGGGAACATTTAAATGCCGACATAGTTTTTAAATCCATTATCTGATTTGGCTCGTCTAAACAGTTTTTTACATGCGGTGAAGCACAAACAAAAAACATTAAAGAGGCCCTTTTATGCTTTTTGGGGTTTCCTTTTCCTGTAGTGTGTTCTATAGGTTTTGGTGCATGTAAATGGTCTGCAAAGGCTAATATCCCTGTATTCCCTCCAGAGGGAGTTCCTCTCCCACACACTTCCTCCCCTCCCTGTAACTATTTAGTTTGAAAGGGTTATAAGACTTCTTTTTTTTCTATAGGCTTTACTGCCTCTCAGCGCCATTATCATACAAAGACATGAGTCATTGGGGAAAATGAAAAGATGTATAATATATAGGACACACTAAATTGATTGATTTTGGTTGATCTAATAAGTTTGTGTCTGTGGTTTGATTTGCAGTCGCTCCGGTGTTATCGAGAAGTTGGAAGCCTTGGAGCTGGAGAATCAAGAGAAAATGGAGGTGGAAGAGTCGGGGGGGAGTGGATCCAGACAGGGCCGGAGTGAGCAGAGACGCTTCCAAAGAGGGGTAACACTGCTGTGTGTTTGTGCGCGTGTATATTTGATCCAATAGTGCCTCCATTGTTCAGCAGTTTACATTAGATATAGTAGGACTTATAATCTGTGGTTCTGGACAACATCCCGTGTGCTCGGCGTTTGGACCTACCAGCGTGGGTTTTATTTTCTCCCCGCCCAAGTTTTCCCCCACACTCTTCTATCTTTTTCCTTCACCCTTGGCCTCCTCTCTCCATCTCTCCCTCTCTCTGCCCCATCTTTGTTTTGGTTGTAGGTCAGAGATCAGCAGCGTGTGCTGTTTTCATTTCCAGTTTCCATTCTGTGGTGGGATTCCCCTGGTGATTATTCCTCCCTTTCCCACCCTGGCTCTCTGTGCTCGGACAGAACCACTTGAAACCCAACTTCAGGGAAATAGAACGTCACACACTGATTCACAAAGTCACAGTGAAGCACTGTTTCACACTCGAGCTTTGGTCCTCTGTCAGTCACACACAGATGAAAATACCACGCATGTTTACAGATCAAGAAAACTGCTTCTGTGCCTTGCCTTGCTGGCACACAAGCTTTTGGTCATTCCTACTGTTACTGTTAAGCAACACACACACATTTAGGTTTGACAAACTTAGCCTCATGCTATATGTGTGTTTTTGTTTTCATTATTTTTGCTTCACTGAGTTAATCCTGACAAAGGGATTGACAAAGAAGGAACGGTTTTGATTACATTTTTCCACAGCATCACCTAAACAGACCAAATTAGATGATGTAGTATTAATGATTTGTGGTTTCTGTGTTTCTTATGTTTAAAGGGGGCCTATTTTGCTCCTTTTCAGGTTCATATCAGTATGTAGTGTCTCTACTGTGTCATGTCTCCATGCTTTAATGTTCAAACAGCTCTTTATTTCTCTCATACTGCCTGTGCTGCAGCACCTCTTTTCACCCTCTGTCTGAAACCAGAGCTCAGTCTGCTCTGATTGGTTAGCCGGCCGGCTCTGTTGTGATTTGTTAACTGCTTAGGGATGTACTGTCCCTTAGCACGTACAATGTGCTAGGTGTAACATAGTGTTGTCATTGTGTTACGCAAGTAAACAAAGGAATCCAATGGAGGCGTTTCAGGCAGGGGTGAGTGTGTGGGAGAAAAACTCCCTCTTTGCAGACCATTTACATGCACAAAAACCTACATAATACACTACAGGAAAGGGAAAACCCCCAAAAGCATAATAGGGCCTCTTAATCTCAAATAGTCCAAAAGGGCTATTATTTTGTATTTGAATAAAAAAAAGATTCTTTACTATAAGAGTTTATTAAACGTACAGATGTTTGAAAATAACTTCAATATGTGTGTGTTGTTTAGGAGCAGAGACGTGACGTTGGTTCAGATTTTCCCTCCGCCCTGCCCCCTCTGAGGAGAGCCAAGTCCCTGGACAGGAGGACCACTGAGTCCGTCATGACGGTGAGTGTTCACTCTCCTCTCATGTATGTTAGAAAGTTCCAGCAGTCATCTCGGAATCCTTTCTGTGACTTCCAACGATTAATGCATTTCAGCACAAGTCAAGCACATGTTTTCACAGAGGAAAGTACATACTTTCATACCCACAGTCTGTTTGTGTGTGTGTGTGTGTGTGTGTGTGTGTGTGTGTGTGTGTGTGTGTGTGTGTGTGTGTGTGTGTGTGTGTGTGTGTGTGTGTGTGTGTGTGTGTGTGTGTGTGTGTGTGTGTGTGTGTGTGTGTGTGTGTGTGTGTGTGTGTGTGTGTGTGTGTGTGTGTGTGTGTGTGTGTGTGTGTGTGTGTGTGTGTGTGTGTGTGGTGTGTGTGTGTGTGTGTGTGTGTGTGTGTGTGTGTGTGTGTGTGTGTGTGTGTGTGTGTGTGTGTGTTGTGTGTGTGTGTGTGTGTGTGTGTGTGTGTGTGTGTTGTGTGTGTGTGTGTGTGTGTGTACGTACTTACTAGTTGGTTGTTAAGCATTCTTGAAAGGCTTTTGAAATTGGTTATTGTAAGTAAGAATAGTTATTCTGTAAATGGACCTTTTGGATGCTTGTTTTGTTCAACCATACTGCTAAAAGTCCTACAGTATGTTCTTAATGTTTTGACATTCCAAATGTTTTAAATTCCCTCTGAAGTCCTGAATGTTTTAGTATTCCTCTGGTCTCGCAGACAAAGCCTCTCCTGTTCTGCTCAGCTGTCTGATCCAGGGTCAGCATCAGTGCAAGGTCTTCAGCTGTAAAGGCTATATTCAGTTTTGAGTTGGGAGAATTAAAAACTGATAAAGGTCTCTGTGCTCTTCCCAAAAGAGCACATCATCTTTGCTCAGAAAACAATCTCCCATTTTTACTGGGGGAATAGTAGTGCAGGGATGTTCTGGTTTTTGTGTAGGCTGACTCGGAAGTTAGCATCGCAAGAGCTCCCTCGACAAAAACCATTGGCATTTTTCCATTTTTTTTTGGGAATAAAATCGCTGGCAAACACATTTGAATCATACTTACACATTTCGTTCAGCAGGATCATCTCCTCATATTAACACCATTGAAAAAATGCAATCTCCAGAAGTAAAAAGCTAACGTCAAAATGTGAAGGAACTACATCACGGTCACATGACTTTACGACACCACCGCTAAGCTAAAGGAGGCTAATGTACGGCATGATAACGGTTATTAGACACATTTAGTCACATGCTAGTAATCACCTTATTTAAGATGTGTAATAGCTTCAGACTTTCACCAGCTGGGTTATTTTTACTTATTGTATTTCATATAATATAACCTAAAGATCTCATCAGATTATGTTAACCACAGACCTTATTTCAGGCATCTTTGTTACCAAATTGTTGCCTGGAAGTGCTGAAACGCTAACTCATTTTGGGTTTTCCCTGCACCACTCTATTGCTGAAACAGGAAGTGGAAGCATTTTTGGTCCATACAGCTATGTTCAGCAGCATTTTGAGTTTTCCCTAATGTTTGTGGATGATGTAGGCCTAACGTCCATGCTGCGGAGACCCCCTCCTCCTCCCCTCCTCTCCAGGTTATACTCTTCACTGTGCTCCAACTGTGTGCAGATTTTGCCCGCTGCGTGTATTCATTGCACATTTTCTGTGTTATTAGTTAAGCGAGAGGGTGTGTGTATGTCAGTTTGTGTGAGACAGAGTATATCACAATGTACCACTGCTTCGTGAGGCCGCCATTCACGTGTGTGTGTGTCTTCATTTGTGTGGAATCACAGCAGAATACAACAGTTTTGAGCACTGTGTTCTGCATCCTCAGCTGGAGAAGCACAGAGCGACACATCTGGCAGAAGTTGGCCCTGGCCAGTGGATCACATTAAGACAGCGTCACATCTTCTAAATGTGTTTTTGATCCATCGGTAGGGTCAACTTCTGCCCTCAGCTGACTCAGTGAGCATGTGTTGTTGCTGCTCTTGTGTTTTACAGTGACAAAATGATTTTTTTCATTAAGGAATTGTTTTCAAACTGTTGGATGGATCTGTAGATTGATGTATTATGCTAGTTGAAGTTATTGTAATATAATGGAATACGTAAACAAATGTAAAAAATGTGTTGTGGTTTGTATTTGATTGGTTCTGGGGTAATTTTGCATGTTTTCTTTGTTTTTCTGTTCTAATTCAGACTCAAATTCAAATGTTTTTCTTCTTTTCTAGCCGGATTTACTGAACTTCAAGAAAGGTTGGATGGTGAAGCTGGATGAGCAAGGCCAGGTACCTAATCTACCTCTGTCTGTGATAAATAGTATTCAAAATGAGAGAGAGAAATAACCTAGGTGGCTAATAACATTTTTTATGTTTGATGTTTTAGTAGGTCTGTTAAAAAAATCAAGTATGATTAAGTATCAAGAGGGACCTACATTTAAAGAATTTTTCCAACTTTAAATTCTCTAGACATTTACAAATTGCAGAAAGTAATTATTCAATTTTAGGGTTTCTTTATGGAGTCACCACAAGGGGGTCAAAAGCCAGCTCAAACAGCATCTGAACTATCCAGCTGATGCACTGTTGCACGTCTGTAGCATTCAATGGTCTTTACAGAGGTGTGGTTACACTTTGATGATGCATCTTCAATGGACTTAAAGACCAGGGCGGAGCCTGAAGGCTTTCAAATAAATATTTTATAAGATGTAGGGAAAGAGGCGAACTCTGTGCCATCGTTGAGCAGGTTTTAGGGATTTCTTCTATATATCTTATTACATTTTCATGATCTATGGATGACTAAACGTTGTCTTCTTTTTGTCAATTTAGTGGAAGAAATACTGGTTTGTTTTGACGGATCACAGCCTGAGATACTACAAGGATTCCATCGCAGAGGAGGTATGCTTATTATTTTAAGTGTACACTCATTGTAAATGTTTATGGTGAGCAGTTCCTTATTTATGTTTGCACAATCATCTTTCTGTTACTCAGGCCTCGGACCTGGATGGGGAGATCGACCTGTCCACTTGCTACAATGTCACTGAATACCAGGCTCAACGCAACTATGGATTCCAAATACATGTAAGAAATGTTTTAACCATGACTGTTCATTTTCTACCTCGGCCTGTCTTGAGCTATCGCTTAATAAAACAGGTTGCTCATACCAAGTAATCTGATTGGTTCGTAGCCATGGTATAATAATAACTAAATACCACAGCCATGACGTCAAATTATTTTTTTACTTTCAGTATCAATCTGTGTACACGGAAACATTTTTACACTGTTGTGATGTCATTGTTGATAACTGACAGGGTCACAGGGGTTTATATTTTGAATAACACAAATAAGGTTACAATAGTGTTTAATTTTCCTATAATTTGATTTCTATTAAGTTTTTTTTTTGTATCCCTATTTTATTTTTTTAATACCTTTTTTTGATTATTTAAAAATAATTATTTTATTTTATCTAACTATGCCTCGAGAATGACAAAGAAAGAATGGATTAGTGTCAGGATTAATTTATTATGAACACAGTATAACATTTGTTAATATTAAAAGAGAGACTTCAAAGGAAGCATACCATCTTTTAATTATTTCTTTTGTGGTAAAAAATATATGATTTGCTTACCACCAATACACTTAAAAAAAGTATCGGCCAGACTGAACATGGAGGTATTATTTAATGTAGGGAAATGTTATCACATTACCTATAGAGTCAGTGTAATTTTCATTTTGAATGTTCAGACCAAGGAGGGAGTGCAAACGCTGTCGGCCATGACAGGAGGGATACGCAGGAACTGGATCCAAGCAGTGATGAAGAACGTCCGACCATCCACCGCCCCTGATGTGGCAAGGTCAGTACAACCAATACTGCACACATTATATAACCATTTTCTCCAGTTGGGTTTCCGCCGCAGGTTTATATGTAGGCTACGTAATCTGCACGACCACATCTCCACGTGCAGTGCTGCATAAACATGGCTGAGTCAGCGATAACTTTTGAGGGGTGGAGGTATGCCCATTATTTTGAGTTCGTCCGAAGAATAGACAGGAATGTGACGGTGAGGTGCAAACTGTGTCCAGGCCAGAAGCTGTTATCCACTGCTGCAGGGACGTGCACAGGTACGGACTAATAATGTTGCCCGGGCAACGGCCCGTTTGGCCTTTTTGGCTGACCTGCCCCTCTGGAGAGAGCAAGAGTTTATTTTTCTTCTTTCTGTTGTGGCCGAATCAACATGATAAGCCCACAATTAGTATTGTAGCCTCTCGCTGCAGGAAACACACTTTGTCAGCGCTGTCATCTGCCGGTGCGTTAAGACCATGTCGGATTTTGGAAACTTGATTTTGAGTTGTCTCATGGCAGTTAGGGTATAAGGGACAAACCAGGGGACTTTACTTCCTCTTGATACCGTCGGTTATTTACAAAAAAACACCTAAATATAGCCTACTTGTTGTTATTGTGCTTCTGTCTTTCTGTGTCTTTTACTCTGTAAACTCCCTCAACGGGGCCGCTCGCTCTCTTTTCTTGATCGCCCTCTTACGGGTGAACAGTTCAATGTCCCGCTTCATTGTAGGAATTCTGCCATGTCTCTACCACTTTAGTTTGACCATCTCCGTTATTAAGTTATGGAATACTAAATAAATAAGTAATTTATTTAGTATAAATTACTTATTTAGTAACAACCCCATCTCTGGTGATGATAGTTGATTGGAAAAAGGAGCTAGCAGTAGACCCTAGCCCAGGCCAGAATGGCAGCAGATTGCGCACAGTTTGGGACAATGAGCACATTTTTAAGCTAAAAAGATTCTTGTTGTTTATCTCTGCCTTTCAGTTCTACTGAGGATCATGGCTCCTTCTCTCCTCTGGAGGGTCTGGTTAGGCCAGATGTAACCCCCTCCTCTGAGGCGTCTATAGAGAGAGAATCCACGGCAGGTGTCATAAAGAGCCGGGCACGTGAACGCAGAAGAGAAGGCCGCTCTAAGACTTTCGACTGGGCTGAGTTCAGACCCATCGCTCAGGCTCTGGCTCAGCAGCGGGCACAAGAGGCAGAGAGCCTCCATGCTGACCTGGAGCTGGAGCGCAGTCGTAGGAAAGAGGAGAGGCGGAAGCGTTATGACTCTGTGACTAACTCAGCGCCGGAGCAGACACTTGTTAAAGCTGGAGGGAGGACTGACTGTGAGAGTGCAGAGGGAGTTGGACAAACAGATCCTTTAGGTCCCGTGTCTTTGGAGAGGCAGCAGATGGTGGAGGAGGTGATTGAACAACACTGGCAACAGGTGGAGAAGACACCCATGAGGGAGGAGAGGAGGGTGACTCTGCCCCCCCCCGGTGCAATCCAGAGATACTACTGAGCTGGAGCAACTGCTGGAGAATTACAAGCAAGGGGTACGTTTTTAGTTTATTCTTTTAATATCAATTCTATTAAATGCACACATAGCAGGTTGCCAATCAGGAAAACAATAAGCAGTTAATTCAATCAAATCAAATCGAGTCTCACTATTTGGTATACATTTCTTTCATCAAGGCGGCACATTAGGTTGGTTCTAGTTTTCTTAAATAGTTGAATAGGTCATGTAACTGCCTACCTGTCTGCTATCTGTCATTCACACTCAACATGTACCAAGCTAACTACTAGCATCTTGTCTAAACTGCATGTGTTGGGATCACCTAGATTATAAATGTGGCAAACGTGCCTCTGTCTGTGTTTCATTAACATAAAACGATTTCATGTAATTTTTATAAAACTGATAAATATTATAGAAGATGAAATATATATATTTCATCTTCCCCAAAAAACATATTTTTCCAAATACACAAACGCCAACATGCAGAGAGAATATTAACAAGGAAACACCCAAGAATTTCAGTTTCATATTTTTGCTATCTCACAGAATGAACACTAACTAATAACAGCTGAGTACATTTCTCAGCCAAAGTGGTCGTTATACAATTTCACTTGCTAGAGGTTCTTGAGACTGTTTATCCAAAGCCTCTTCCTGCTGCTCCTGCAGATAGAGGAGCTGAAGGCTCAGCTGGAGGGCTGTCACCAGCAGCTCCTCGACTCCAGCAAGCACAAGCAGGAGTTGGAGCTGCAGCTGAGAACAGCTCTGGATAGAGAGCATGACATCCGTGCAGGTTACATCTCCCCGGTGAGTTCAAACTCTTTGTATTCAGTGTGCAGCTGCATTGCTCTTTGCCTCAGTATGATAGGAAATCCTGTTTTAGATGTAATGTGTGTATTCTCAATTGAGCAGTGTTTTCTCCTCCATTTTGTAACATTCTTTGCATGTTGTATTTGTAAGAAAACGTAAAAAAACTGACATCAGAGCAACAAAGTTGCTACAGATATGTGCCTTTGCATGAGTTCATCGCATGTATAAAAAACCCCATTGAGATCTTATAACTACATTGGCTTCTACTAGTTAATCTCCTATCTCTGTGTTAAAGGTCTGTGTCTGAACTCATGCTAGTCGTTACTTCAGTATATCTTTGATTTTGGACCAAGGAATTCACGTGTTGATGATCAATGGAATTCTGTTTATAGAACCCAATATCACAAATATAACTTGTTCAATAAACTTAATCACATGTTGCTTTTAACTATACACAAGGTGTTCTACATCCGCTGAGACCTAAAACATTGGGCGGTTTTTTCACTTTCCAAAAAAAGAAATATATTTCTGATGTTTTTCTCAAAGTGTGCATAAAGGAGATTGATTGGAACAAACGTATTGTCATATATTAAGTCATGGGACAACAATGCCTTCTTCTTAACATAGAATTATGACATTTAAAATATATACATTTATTATTTCTTAAATTGCTGTCTGATCAAAACTCATGTTTGGTCATCTGTAAATATAGCCCTATTATTTTTTTTAACTTGGCTACAAAAAGTTGATGAGTTTTTAAAATGTTAGAGTGATATTATCCTTTATGGTCACTGATACAAAGAGTAGCTCTACTTGCTCAAATGTTCTGCTAAACATGTATGAATAACTCTTTGGCTTGTATTCTAATTGTTTGCATGGACGTCAGATTCTCATCTTCTCTTAACTGCTCTACAGACCTGCCATTTGTTGTTCTGTCAACAAATATTATACTGAAGCTATGTAATGGCATAAACGTGTGATGTTTGAGGAACTTCTGTGCTTTTGTGCCAATGTATAAATGGGTTAAAGGCTGACGGATTATTTTATAGTTGATTTAAGTTTGAGTTAAGTGTATGCAATTTTTGTCTTGAAATGTAACACACAAATTACTTTCAATGAACAATGGAGTAAGTTTGAAAACATATTTGGACATTAGATTTAAGTCGGCTATAACTATTCACTATCTCCACTCAGAAAAAATGCTTTGGTGCAAGACATGAGCTTGGACCAGAACATCTCAGAAATGTGTCTGTAGGACCTGGTATTCCATCCATCCTTGGGTAAACCATCTAGCTGAAACTAATATTGCTTTACTTTCCCCATTGAAATAACTTTTCACCATTTAATGTGCATGCTCTGTTCTGATGAACTAACCCTGCTAATTGAATCTCTTTCTTTTGCTTTTAATTTACACCATTCAAACCTAAGGGAATTATTTGTTTGTTTTGAATCACTTTTCATTTACGTAATTTGGGGTCATGTGGGAAATCTTTTTGAAATGTCACTTTTTGAAATAATTGGTAGTTAACACTGAAAATGATGAGCAAGCTTTGTGTCTCCCCTGCTGTGTGTTAACCAACTGTCTGGTCCCCTTTTCCAAGCTGGAGCACCCTTTGGGTCTGGAGGCTGATGTGACGCCCCAGACGAAGAGGCCCGAACTGGTTAGTTCTCAAGCACAGAGTTTAACAAAGAAGTACCAGGAGACCAAAGAGCTCCTGAAGCTGCAGGAGCTGAAAAAACGCAATATGCAGGCACAGCTTGGCCTTTCGCTTTCTCACTCTCCCATCAAGGATCCGTACTTTTCTGAACTTCCAAATCTATCTATACCGGAAGGCCCACCCCCTGAACTTGTCGAAAAAACAGTTAGCTTCTTGCTTCAGGACAGTGATGAGGCAATTCAAGAATTAGAAGACATGATTGCCGGTAGACCTCTGTCCCTAAAGGAGTTGCCAGAATTATTGAGATTCCATAGTTGTTATGAAGAGACAGCGGAGAAAAAACAACTTCAGAAGCTCTTGGAGACCTGGAAGTACCAGCAGGAGATGGAAAATGAAACGTTAAAAAAAAGTTTAGCCAGAGCAGGAGAAAGCATCCGTGAGTACGAAGCCCGTCTTCTAACCATTGAGGATTTGGTCGGAAGGGTTCAAAATAAAAGTCTAGGAAGCCTAAAAAGTCCCTATGGACCCCTCTCAGAAATTGAAAACCATTCAGAGACAATTGAGATGGACAAAGGGATGCTCTCCCAGAAGGTTGAACTTTTAACTAGTGAAAATGGGGCATTGAAACAACGGTGTCAGGAGATCGTGAACCAACTGACAGAGGCTGACAGAGAAATAGACAGACTTAAAGTTGAGCTGATCAGCCAGCAAGGCGGTAAACAGCATCACCTGGTCATGGAAGAGCTAAAAATACTAAAAGCAGAACTGGCTGAAAACCAGGCAATCTCTATAGACAGGGAGTTTTACGAGAGGGAGCTGAATGAGAAGTCCTTGAGGCTTCATGAAGCTCTGATTACGATGGAGGAGCTCGGCAACACCCTAAAAGAAACTGAGAAGAAACTGCAGTTGAAAGAGGCAACGCTAAAAGGTCTTGGTTTTAACCCAGATTATGAGGAGGAGGAGGAGGAGGAGGAGTTACATCCAGAGGAAGAACTACTTGAATCCTCACAAGAAAAGCTATTTGAGATGGAGGCAAACCTTCATTCTAAAGAAAAGCGCTGTTTGGAACTTGAAGCCAGGAACAGAGAACTAATGACATTGAACCAGGAATCTGAGAAACTCAGTAGAGAGATGCTAAGGGAAGCAGAAAACAAAATGACAATGCTAAAAGAGAAGTTAGAATTGAAGACGGGTAAAGTTGAAAAGACAATAAGCGAATGTGTTGAAGCAGGACAAATGCAAGTCGATAATAAAGGACTGTTAGAGCAAGTGGTAGAAGAGATTGAGAGGAAGTCTGAGGCGATTGATCAGGTTTTAGAGATGTTAGCAAAGGTAGATGTTGATGTAGAGAATACACTCAATTATTTAAAAAGCACTTTATTTAGTTGTTCAAAAGAAGAACAACCCTGTGTGAGTCAGAAAGACATGAGGTTGTTAATAGAGGGAGAGTTCTGGAGCCAGCTGTTGGGGTCATCCATAATCAAACCAGAAGAAGACAGACACAGCTTTGATAGAGGTTTGGCACGACAGATGTTGGCACAGAAGCGCTTGATGCTCTTGATTAGGAGGATTTGTCCACAAGAAAAAGATGAAAGTGAGGAAGTGACAGAGCCAGATTTTGCATCCATGTACAAATGGCTTAATAATGAAACAAATGCTCTGATTAAAAAAGAGTTAAAAGACACCTTGGAGGAAAAGTCAAGTGTTCTGAAACAGATTGTATCCAGTGTGAAATTGGCCAAAGACGACCAGATTTTGTCTTTGGCTATAACAAGCTTTGTTCAAGAACAGAAACCGTCCTCAGATCATCTGTTTGATGCCCTTAAAGAAGCCTACATGTCTTATGTGATCACTAGGCTGAAAGTCCAACATAAACAAGAACTCAAGCAAAACCAGACCAAAGTTGAGAATGGTAGCTTGGATTGTCCAAATTGTCATAAATTGAAAGAAGCCACCAAAAACCTTGAGTTGAAACTGGCATTTATCCAGAGTCAACTTGCCACAGGGCAACACACTTCATCCATCATCCAGATGGAAGGAGAGCCCACAGACTCATTGCACCAATCCAATGAGCTTCATGCCAGGAAGGAACTACAAGAGGTCAAAGACAGCTATGAGAAGGAAGCTGAAAAGTTGAGGCATAAAATAGCTAAGGCCGACGAGATGCTGCGTATTCGCTCAGAAGAAAATGTGAAGGAGATCAACTCCCTGACAAACTGCATGGAGAGTCTTAAGGAGAAGCACGAGATGGAGAGGATGAACCTCATGGAGAGGTTTGACCGGGAAATGGAAGAGCTGAGGAGCATGATGAGTCCATCAAACCAAGACAAGAACTCAGCGGATACCGACAGACTGCCGCATCTCGCCTCAGCCCACACATCGACCCTGAAAGAGCGAATCCGAGAGCTGGTCACCCAGGTCTCGGTCATGACCCAAGAGATGAGACGCCGGGAAGAGCAGGGAGATAATACGACTCTACGACTGAAATACGAGAAAGACCTGGAAAACCTGAAGGTGGAAGCACTCCTTGTCCTTGCCGTCCTGCATCTGTGATGCCTTGTGTTCCTTTGTGGCATTCCCAGATTCCCTTCCTTTCCCAACTTCTACCCCCAATCCTAACCCTGCTCCCACTACTCTTGCTCTTTGTTCTGTAAACCACTTTTCTTCTGTGTTGCATGAACTAACCCCCTTTAGGTTTATGTGATCATTGGCGCTTCAGCAGTCGTGGACTGAGGAACCCATTTTGTTGAAGTTTCATCAGTTTTAGAACTTTTCTGGAACATTATATTAACCCAAAAAGATTCAACACAAGATACTACATTATTCTAATCTACACCAAAGCATCCTATCATATCAGCCTATTCTACTCTGAAATGAGTTCCTCTGGTCTTAGTTCAATGTGCTTATTAATTTAACCGACTGACTTAGCTATGCCACAAACGGTTAAGGGCAATTTTTGAACCCTTTCGAATATTTAAAGTTACTTTTATTATTTGTTTTTGGCCAAAAACTACATTTTGATGGGTCTGAATTATTTGCCTTTCACTGTTTCTGCTAACAGTTTAATTATATCTCTACTTTCTCAGAACAATAGTTACCCTAACCCTTACAATTTTAACCGAATGTCTTCTCACAAGATTTTTCTTGGGCTTTCAAATGCATCTCACGGCCAGCAGCAACTTCAGTTAACTCAGTTATGATGACATGACCTAGTATGGATCTTATATGGTACAACTCCTCGATAACTAAGCCAACAACTTAATTTGCTGGTAAAGGTAGTGACATGTGGTTGAAAGCCATGAATGAAGCTACTAAGTAGACCTTGACTCTATTTAGTTAAAATACAAGTCTAAAAGCTTTGTTGCTTCTTGTAAAAATAAGGCTCAGTGCGCCCAACTAACTGAAATACCCATTTTCTCATATATTCCAAATGGTTTTGGTTTCATGTGAAAGAGGTGATAATATTTTAGTTTTTGGTGCTCAAAGCACCCACCAAAAGTTCAATAGAAAGGTCTTTCTCCATAAACATTCGCAGTGTATTGACACCTAACAGCACCCTTGACCATCCATGAGCACCCTTGACCATCCATGAGGAACAACAACATTGTGCCTCATGGATACTGATCATGGCAACATAGTTTGAGTAACTTTCGCTGGTGAAGTTGTTTAATGTAATATGTTAATGTGTTATGCATCTCTGATGAGATTCACTTAATAGTTCAAACTATTCCAGCTCAAAACCTTAGCAAATATTAGGGTAGTTCAAACAATTCCAGCTCAAAACTTTATCAAATCAATCTAAAACTCAATCTCCATGGCTAAACACTGGTGGAATTTATAGGGAAGAGTGTTTTCTTTATTAGTTTGAACCAACTCTTTAAGGCGTGGTCAAATTGAGCTTCATTTCATTTTTTTGCGTTACACTCCCCCCATGAAAGGACCCAACGAAATTAAGCGTTAGTCCTCCAGTGGGTACGTTTCTCTACTTTCTAGGACTGTCTCTGCCTCAACCCCATTAGGCGCGTTCACACCAGAGTACTTTTACCCGTACTTTTCCCGTTTAGTTCCGATAGTGCCTGGAATCTTGCGTTCACACCAAAAAGAGAACTTAATTCCGAGAACTTTTAACCCCATTTTTAGTGCCTGCTAGAGAGGTGATACTATCCTGGGGAGAAAAAAGTACAAATTTCGTAAAAAGTTTTTTGAAGCCGCCATTGTATTTGCTGGCATTAGCATTATTAGCATTAGCCCCGTGCACCAACGGAGAGAGAATAACTTATGGCAACACAGAAAAAACATGGGAGCGGTGGAGATGAGGAGGTGTCGGCGTTCTGGCGATTTACTCGGAAGGCTTCAGTAGAAGCTGCTGGGACTCCCAGCAGCTTCTACTGAAGCCAGTCACCAACTCCGGGGACTTCCGGCCGGGGACTTAGGGTGGCAGTATACGCCGTGAAGTTGTTTGCGGCCTGCCAGTAAACCCAAAGCAGTAGAAGAATAAGTGACGTCAGCGGCTTCATTTGCGTAATCTTCCCTCAGGGAACTTATTCCGGTGTGAACGCGATCTGTACTTAGTTTCATGGGGGCACTAAGTGCTGGCACTAAGTGCTGGCACTAAGTGCTGGGCACTAAGTACGGCAAAGTACTTGGTGTGAAAGCGGCTATTGGTTCCTACCAAAGACATAATTAGGTGAAAACGGGTCACAAAAAACAAATTGTTTTTATTTTATTTACAACAAATCAAAGTTTAGATACAATAATAACTAACTTAAAACACTGGAGTCTAATTGGCAGTTTGGTCGAGAGACAGTGGTGTTTTAAAGATCATATATTTTAAAGGTTTGTAACTTGTAATGAGGGAGAGTTAAACAGCATATTCGATGTTCACATAATAATCTTATGTCTTTGTTAATCAAATATTCTGCCCTGTCTCAGTCGAGAGTGCATGATCCTGCCATGACCCAGGATATATTTACACACGAGACACAGAGCCTGACATGCTTCTAAATAAAGCTTGTGCGTGGTCTGATGTCAGAGCCGGAAGTTTACATTTGCTCTGTGGGGGAGATGTTTCAGCCTTACAGTGGGTTCCTGGGGCTGTGCTCTCAGGGGGTTTTATCCCTGTGAAAACACACTGAACCTCCATTTCCCCTGTCGGGCTGGAGTTACACTGAGGCAGAGACAGGCCACGGCCCAGCCATGGACTGAGTCCTCAGATTAGTGGCAGTGAATAGAGGCCGGATGCAGGACGAGGTCGTTAGTTGTGCTAGTGGAAAGGCCATTGAAATCCCTTCTTGTGGAAACTTGCACTGTAGTTATAATAGCAGTGTAATGGCTTTTTCTAAACACGTGTTGGTGAGGATTATCCTCCTCTTTCCCTTTTCTCCAATGTACGACAAAAATGCCATAACCTGACAAACATTAAACTGCAGTGTTTCAGATGACCAGATATTCATGATTGATCACCTTAACCTTATAGTCCATAAAAAATGTTTTCCCATAGGCAGTTCAGGATTTGCATATTAGCTGCTGGTAACAGCCTTAGGCTGCCCTCGACAAAAGATGTTCCTAGTCAACCAGTTGTCGTCAGTACAAGCGATTAGCTGATTAGTCGAGTAGTGGTCGCACGTTTGGGACTCATTAATATCAAGGTTTTAGTTTTTTTGGCCAATGGGTGCAAATGTTATACAACATCCCAAAACATTGTCGTTAGGAGAAACAGTTTCGAAACAATACATATACAAAAACACAATTGTGTAATTGCACACATGCAAATAAATTAATAATTTCACCAATTGAACTAAACGCTGCTAGTAAACATGCAAAGCTCAAAACACAATGAAACAGGGACACTAAAAAGTGAGGCACATGTCTGGGACCATGTGTTTTGTGTTTTTATATTTGCGTTGTTTTTTAAAGTGCAGTGTGTTTCTCCCGTCGGCCACCGTACATAAGAGTAGCAGTCTGCCCGTTAGCGACATTGCAAACGTCAGAAGCGGCAGTAATGATTTTAAATGTGTGTTGGAACGAGCTGCAAGGACACCAAATGAACATTTTGTTACATTATTTTCTGAGCACAGTAAAACATTACATAATCACACACAGCTTATGAATGTGTAACTAAGTGGTAACACCAGCAAAATAACTAAAACATTTAAGGTTTAAAAAAAAACAAACACATTACTCAGCTCAGTGTAAATAAGGATTTAAAGGCATCATCAGTGGATGTTTGGCTTTGAATAGGAAATGGTAGCATATACTTTTTGACACCCGCCTCCTCTCTCATTGTCTTTTTATTCCTTCAGTGTATTGTTTATCCTGTCATTCCTCATCTTAACCCATGTTATACTCACACAGGCTCAACTTGCTCGTGGCTAACAGGCTGTGGCTTGCAAGGTCTATGCCAGGGGGAAGAAATGACGATGGAGATGGCTTATATTGTAGAGCAAAGTGTTCCTGCCTTCTCTGCTTATGGGGGCAGGAGAACCTTGGTCTCTGTCCAGATGGGTCGAGAACTCATAGTTGCATCGTATTTCCCGTCCCATAGGCCACCTGTGAGAGGGGCTTTGCTGCCATGGAGGATTCTCATCAGAAGGTGATCGATGAGCTGCAGAAGAAGAACCACAGAGAGCTGGAGAACCTGCATGCGGAGAAGGAGCGACTGCTTGAAGAGGAGACGGCAGCCACCATCGCCGGTAAATCAAATCACCTCACAGAAGAAGCACAGAGATGCTGTCACCCCTAATTTCATACAAAATGTATTTTCTTATTTGCTTGTACTACTACAGTAAACTATTAAACTTGTACGTACTTATTAAAGCATTATTTTTTGTTACTTTAGCAATCGAAGCAATGAAAAACGCCCACCGGTCAGAGCTGGAGAAGGAGCTGGACAAGGCTCGCAAGGCAAACAGCAACACAGAAAACGCAGACATCGAGGAGATCCGCAGGCAGCATGAGTAAGTTGTTCGTAGTTTATATGCCGTATGGTTTGGTGTTGATCAAGGACCTTGACTGTCTTAGTCTGTTTATTTAATGACATGAAGAGTAGTGTAGGATTACAATGAGAAGAGCATGACGACACAAGTACTGTCCTTAATCAGCAGTAGGACTCAAAATGCAAACATATTTAGTTCAATCAGATGCCGTTTGGTTAAAGTGACTTCTCTAAGCGTCAAGTTGAATATATTAGTAAATTCAGAAGTATCCCGGTCATAGTTTGACAGTTACGTTATTAACTAAGTTAGTTACGAGTTGGATTATGACAAACATCCCATGTTACATGAAGGCAACATAAGCCTAAACTTTACTGTGTAATCAGTCATTCTGCTCATTTGCTTGGCTTTCTTTTGGCAAATTAAAAAGGCCCTATTCTGCTCTTTGGGGTTTTCCCTTCCCAGTAGTGTGTTCTATAGGTTTTCGTTCATGTAAATGGTCTGCAAAGGCTCAAATCCCCAACACTTAACTAGGGTTGGGAACCGATAAGAAAATGCCGGGTACAGGGTACCCAAACAAAATACACAATTTCGGTCTGCTTAACGGTTCCTAAACGCGGTAGACCCTGTATTCCACCGGGTCCGTCTGCGCCGCGGCGACCCGGTGGAATACAGGGTAAGGGCAGACTGGCCATCTGTGTGTTCTGGAGAATCACAGAACGGCCGGTCGTCAGCGGGCCGTTGACGACCGGCTCGGTACGCTGACAGCCGGCACCGCCCTTAATTTGTAAGTTACGGTGACAGAGGTCCACAGTTACCCCGCAGCGAGGCTCCCCCCGCCCTCCCGTAGACAGTTCACGAGCTCAGTCACTTCATAACACCAAAGATGGATCGCGGTAAACGCTCTGAAGTGAGGCTCCCCTACACTAAAAGAAAAAGACAAGGCACAGTGTAATGCCTGTTAATAGCTTGCTACAGGCATAGCTTAGTTAAGATAAAGCACAGCTATTATGCAATACATTTGTATTGCATCTATATTTTTTATTTGTAAAAATGTCAGTTAAAGCTTAAAAGAATAAAGATATTTTTGTTATCTAAACGTTTGACCTCTTTCTTTTACAATTTTGGAATCGAAACGGGGAATCGAGCAGAACCGGAATCGGAATCAATACATTTCAAACGATACCCATCCCTACACTTAACCAACATTTTTAAATAAAAATGAATTTGAACACATTTTTTTTTTTTCAAACCGTTAATAATCCTGTATGTCGGTCTGTACTCCCAACAGCAATTGAGCTTTTTAAGACTCTTTTGACTGATCTGACTGCTTCATTAAAGAATGTTCCATCTGATCTGAGTACTGATACAGGATCAGATTGTGCAGCTGTCGCTTATGACTTGCTGGGACATGTGTTAAGAAACTCTGCGTTCAGGCACACCTGCCGGTATTGAGCGTGCTGCAACACTGAACTTGGTGACACGTGTGAGAGCAGTAAGCGAGCAGCTACTGTGTCAGACTGTGACGTCATTCAGGCCCAAATAATACTTTTTATTGGAAAAGAGATGCAGCGTATACTATTTTTAGCTAAATAGCTCTCCAGTATAAACACTTTTTACCCTTATTTAAATTATTAAATCATTGTCACTTCGCCACTGAGAACGTTCATAGGAATGCTGTATCCAGTTCTCTTTATTTTATCATTTATTTGGCGACTTTAGTTGCTAGTTACTTTGCACATTCATGTTGTTAATGAAAAAATGTAATCAACTAAGGAATAATTATTTTATAAAAGTGCAGATCATAACAAACAATACATTACAACATCAACACAAACAGTCGGCTTGGCCATACACCAACAAACAAAAAAGCAAACGCACAATAACCTCATTCTCTTCAGGTCAGAATAAAGACAATGAGTAAAGCAAATATATGTAAAAAAGGATTTGGGTCTTATTCTGGAATATCCGGGAAGGTCATCCTCTTTGCATAGGCAAAGAAAGGCCCCCAGACATTTGTATCAACTAAGGAATTATGACATTATAGGATAAGAAGTTATTAAAAGTTAGTACCAGCTGCCAAAGTAAAATGATGCACACAATATTGGGTCAATGATTAGAATCCAGTGATACAATGTTGTGTAATGGCCATTCTGCGTAATAAGTCCTTTAGTAAACCTGAACCTGGAGCTGTATTTGCATCCAGTTCCCCCTGAACCCCAGCTGGTGGTATTGGATGTTCTCTCAGGGTGCTCCTGTGTTGTGTTTCAGGGAGGAGCTGTGTTCCTTCCAGCGGGAGATAGAGGTGTTGTCGGAGCAGTATTCCCAGAAGTGCCTGGAGAACGCCCACCTGGCCCAGGCTCTGGAGGCCGAGAGGCAGGCCCTCCGGCAGTGTCAGAGGGAGAACCAGGAGCTCAACGCACACAACCAGGTACACACACACACACTGTGAACACACATTCACAGTTTTGAGTGCAAAAGAAAGCACAACAGCTCTCCTTTCAAACGTTTTAAGCTTCTTCTTCTTCGTGCCCGTTTTTAGGAGCTGAACAACCGCCTCGCAGCAGAGATCACTAAGATGCGCTCCATGACGTCTGAGGATGGAGTAGGAGACTCAAACATCACAATACAGGGGAAAGAGCTCTACGAGTTAGAAGTAAGGCAAATATCACAACATATAACAATACATCTGTGCCAGGGATGTTTTGAATAGTGCTCCTTAGGCAGGATATTGCAACGTCTTGTAGCCTACTTTACATTTCTCTTACTTTCGTGACCAACTTGTTACACATTTTACAGGCCATCTTCACAAAATGACACAAAGATACAAATATAATTGATGCAAATGTATATATAGAACAATTAAACTCCAATTCTGCCCCTCCCCATCCCACTCCTCTTGCTGCTCCACACCAATGATAGGTTTTGTTTGTTGTAATCGTATAAGTGTATCTATTCACACACCTTTTTACATAACATTTAGCCTTTATAAGAAATAAGGTGATAGGGATTTGTTTGGCTACAGTTAAGTTAAAGCTTTTCTGAGGCTTTAATTAGACTAAGATAAAGAGAAGAATCATTGCAGAGTAATACAGTTTTGGGAGACACAGTATCTGAACCTCAATGATATCAGATTCTATATCAGTCATTGTCTGTATATCTTTTTCATTTCATCTTTATTTCCAGGTGATGCTGAGGGTGAAGGAGTCTGAGGTCCAGTACTTGAAGCAGGAAATCAACTCCCTGAAAGACGAGCTCCAATCTGCCCAAAGAGTACGTTGTTTTATCTGTTAGCAGTCCTTTTTACCGGGGACCTCCATGAATTCCTCGCTGACAGGCAGCTTGATTACCCTTTATCTGAAATGCCGAACATTGTGTTTTTCAGGACAAGAAATATGCAACAGATAAGTACAAGGACATCTACACGGAGCTGAGCATCGTGAAGGCCAAAGCCGAGCGGGACCTGGGCCGGCTCAGAGACCAGCTGCAGCTCGCCCACCAGGCGCTGGGAGAGGCGTCGCTGGAAGAGGTGGAGCGGGGGGGATACGGTACGGACAAAAGGAAATCCAGTCGGCCTCTTGAAAGAACGATTTAAGGCTCTGTGTCTCTGTGACACCTGCTTGAACAAGTGGTCAAAGTCAGATGTATCAAACTCTCTAAACTGCAAAAACGTTCTTGTTATAAATGAAATAATAAGGAGGTGCATGTTTGGGAGATTTGACGAGCATATTTAAGGCTGCCTGTTCCAATCCATTTGTGGGTTTGATGTGGCATCATTTTAAAAACAATGAGCCAACTAGGGGAGATGTGAGGCTGTTGAGAAAATAAGGCAGTAGGGATGTTAAGGATAGTTTCCTTCATAATTACCCTCAGCCCAAAAATACCAATAAAAAACGTTTTCTTTTAATGAACAGAGTATTTTCGTTTTTTCATCTTTATTTTATTTTTTTATTTTAGTATCTTCATTTTGGGCTTAATTTAAATACTTATTTTTTGGATAGTAATAATAGAGCAATCACAGGAAATAAAGTAGAATTTAAGTCACAGTTATGTTCCCCTTGTTGTGAAGGGAAGGCTTTCTGAAGACATCTGGTATGGCATTCATTCATTTAGCTAGAGATAGGTGGTCCATTTACGAGATGGCTCAAATCACTTAAACATGCTCAATAAGAATGAATCTGAGGGTTCTTTCATGAGAACAATTGTGTGTCAACCTTTTCTCCACTGTTTCTCATTATTTCAACTCTGATACTATTCCTCAGTAGATATCATGAAGTCCAAAAGCAACCCTGACATCCTGAAGATGGCGGCTGCTGCAGCCAAACGCTCAGAGCGCACACTGAGGTCAAAGGTGGGTTTCCTGCAAACTAGCCATCAGTCCTTCAGCCCTCTGTTAATGCTGGATATTCATGGATCTGTATCACCCATTGTCATATTGCTCAAGCAGCAATACATTCAAAACTGACAGAAAAAAGTCCTGTTTTGACATTTTAAAGTCTCCCACCAATCACAGGCTGAGATTTTAAATCACCTACTGCCATCTACTGGTCACCTGCAAAGTTGCTGTTATTTCTTTTTTTGTGACTCCATCAAAAGTGCAGCTACAAAGTGAACCCCTTGGTAGTCTAACACACACTTGCTGGTGTGTTTTCCCCCTTCTGTCCTCAGTCTGTGAATCGAGACATGCCCTGGGACAGTTAGGGCTGCAGAGGACGTGTAGGCTCCTCCCCCTTCTCCTTTAGGTAAACCAGACGCACAAACAGGCGGTGAAAACACTTCCTCTGTCCTCCGCCTCTAAAGCACTTCTTCTTCTTCACATTATTGAACAAATATCAGATAGACATGTGACGGTGAAGAACGAATGATAATGGATGAGATTACTAATCTGTCTGTCGTTTCACCTTAGTGGTGATATGTGTTGTGAATGAGTTGCTTACTATGGAGTCCCAAAACCAACAAAGACCAGCAAAAAGTGAGCAAATAGGTCAAATGCTACGTAGCTTTAGTCTGATTTTATATTATAAATAAGGAATCATTAAACAACACGATAAAGTCAAAGACATGTACACAGACACCATTCTTCCACAAAGTGGCCTCAGTGTGTCTTGCTCGTTGACAGAATAAAACTGGCAAAGTCACTTAAGTACATTTACTCTTCTCCACACTGGGTGTAGAAGAGTGTTGGGGCTTCCATAGCACACTGGGTGGAGAAGAGTGTTGGGGCTTCCATAGCACACTGGGTGGAGAAGAGTATTGGGGCTTCCATAGCACACTGGGTGGAGAAGAGTGTTGGGGCTTCCATAGTACACTGGGTGGAGAAGAGTGTTGGGACTTCCATAGCACACTGGGTGGAGAAGAGTGTTGGGGCTTCCATAGCACACTGGCTGTAGAAGAGTGTTGGGGCTTCCATAGCACACTGGGTGGAGAAGAGTGTTGGGGCTTCCATAGCACACTGGGTGGAGAAGAGTGTTGGGGCTTCCATAGTACACTGGGTGGAGAAGAGTGTTGGGACTTCCATAGCACACTGGGTGGAGAAGAGTGTTGGGGGCTTCCATAGCACACTGGGTGTAGAAGAGTGTTGGGGCTTCCATAGCACACTGGGTGGAGAAGAGTGTTGGGGCTTCCATAGCACACTGGGTGTAGAAGAGTGTTGGGGCTTCCATAGCACACTGGGTGGAGAAGAGTGTTGGGTCTTCCATAGCACACTGGGTGGAGAAGAGTTTACAAACAACTCATGTGGTGATTGGGCTCTTATGATTCCGTTATACAGATGTAATCACTGGGCGACAACAGATTCACACTGACAAAGGGAAACACTGCCTGCTCAGAAACAGCATGTCTGTACATAGGAAGTCATGTTCTTTATTAACGTCTGCTTTCTCTCTCTCCCCCCCCAGAGTCTGAGGGAAGGGCTGACAGCCGAGCAGAGACTCCACCTGTTTGAAAACAAAGAGGCCAAGGAGTTCTGACAGTGACGCATCACGTCTTCTTACCTTGCTGCATGTTTAGAAGTCCACTATATTTTAGCTCTGTAATGACTCATTTAGTTACACTACACACTGGTCACACAACACAGATCATGTATTATTATTAAAAACATGTCTAGATTTTGCATTCCATGCACTTCAGTTAACTGTGACATTTTTTTGTATCGTTTATTTTTTTGCTGCCATGTCTTACTGTAAATACAGTTTTTAATTGTCATGCATACACTAAAACTATGAGTGTGTAAGCTACTGTTTTAACTCCCTAGACTATTGCTTGCCAAAGGCATACATGTGATGTTTAAAGGCTAAACACAACTGCATAAGGAGTAGTGCATATTAAAAGCATAGGAATGAGTCTGGCGTTGTTCTAACGCTCCATCATCATTCCAGCACAGATGGAGGTGTTGCTCGGTGAAAAAAGCTACTAAACTCAAATGCTCGTCTGCATTTGAAAACAAAATGTTGCTTCAGCGCCTGACTGACATCATAGATGTTCCCCGCTATCCTCGGATCAATCTGAGACACCCGTTGAAATGCGACAGCTTAATGCATTCGGATGGGATTCACTGACTCTAATTTAAATATATATATATATGAACATTTATATAGATATTTTTCTTTCTCTAACTGCAATCATCGGTCCAGCTGTATGGGAGTTGTTTGTAGTCGTGTTCAGTGGCAGTCCCTTTAGTATTTATTTGAACGGTTGGGATTTTTCTTTCACATGCCCATTCCTTTGTACTCTATTATTGTAAATATAAAGCAAATATACACCATCTGACTACAGGTTTATTAGCAATAAATATTTTTGCACCCTTTTTGTTGTGTTCTGAATTTTTTTTATTACTTTTTCAACACTGAACAAATATAACAATTTAAGACATGATAATCCAGTTTTCCATTCAATTGCTGACCATACAGACATGTGATGATAACAAACAGCACTCAGATTGAATGATTTATCGTTTTAAACTTAGACCTCTGGCTTTTTAAATATCAATATTAAACTGATCTTCGGGGCAGACAAGCTTTCAAAAAACATCAGGGGTCATAAACTGTGCTGAACATTGAGGTCAATGGAAGCCCTCTTTCTGGTCCACATGAAAATACTTTTGGTCCTATAAACATTAAAGTGGGGCAATAGAAAAACAATGGGGTATATTCTTCAACTTTAAGAACGCCATCTGAACTCAGAGCTGTTAAACAGTCAGTTTTCTATGTCCTTCGGGTGCTTAATTCCTGTACTTGAGACCTTTTCTCACCTTTTTTGTTGTGCTCTCTATCTCTGTTTCTTATCCTACATTTTCACCCTGGACTAGAGGGAAAGCCTTTTCAGCTCTGTTTCTTACTATATTCTTCCTACCCCGTTTACCTTGAACTATTCTAGGAGAGTGTGTTGACGTTGACTCGTTGGGCCTTTCCTCCTGTACTTGTTTGTTCCCCAGTTCTTTCCTTTAACTGAATCTAGGAGAGGGCATTTAGGCCTCTCTACTTCCTTCTTTTGATTAGTTTTAGTTTTTCACCCCCTTTCCCTTGAACTAATTTATACGGGAGAGTGCATTTACGTAGTCACGTTGTGCCTCTCGGCGTATACTTTGACTTTCTGTCTCTTTGGAGAGTGCTAGTACGTTGGATACGTTGGGCTTTTTCACTGTTGTCCCTCTTCACTAGTATCCCGTGTCCCGTCTTCATAATTTGGGTCTTCATAATTTCCACCCTATTCTAAGGGGAAGCATGATGGTGCCTTTTCTTTTCAATTTCTGGCTTTGTGTTTCTTCACCTCTTACTCGTTTAATATTTAGGAGAGTGCATTTACGTAGTCACGTTGTGCCTCTCTTCCTCTGTTTCTGGCTGTTCTTTTCATACCCTTGTTTATCTGAGAAGAGAATAAATACTATTCTAAAAGGAGCTGACACATGGTGTCTCTTCACTTGTACACTTGAGGGGTCAGAGTTTATATGGTGAGGGATTCCATGAGCGATATGCGCCGGCCTGTGCCTTTACCTTGAACTTCTAATAAAACTGCTCGGGTCTTGATAGATTGAGTGGGGAAGTTCATGAGATCTTTCTAGAGGGTTATCAAGAATAACTTTTATCCAATGACCTTTTCCCTCTCTGTCTGTGTCTGTGTATTCTCTTGTTCCGATTAACCCAGCCAAATCTTTTTTCTTGTTCTGTATCTATATCTACGCCGGGATCCGGAGTCGAGGCTGATCCTCTTGCTGTAGTCCTGTGTCTTGGATCCTCTATCCTGAGTTCTGGATTAAGTCGTGGAGTTCGGGTCGTGGCTGAACCTGTCTCTGCGGTCCTGCCTTGGGTCTTGTCTTGCTGCTTCCCTGATGGCTTCCTCAGGATTGTAGCTGACATCCTCGTGGATTCATCTTCTTATTACAGACACATGCATTTCCTAACATTCGGTATATATGCTGTAAAATGTATTATCTCTTCGATTTACACACGGCATCTATTGCACGTCTGTCCGTCCTGGGAGAGGGATCCCTCCTCTGTTGCTCTCCCTGAGGTTTCTCCCATTTTTTCCCCTTAAACTGTGGGTTATCTCTGGAAGTTTTTCCTTGTACGATGTGAGGGTCTAAGGACAGAGGGTGTCGTTTTTCTCATACTGATATTCTGAACAATCTGTGCTGTTGTATTTGCTGTAAAATGTCTCTACTGTAGGCTAATTTTATTATATGTACAGCACTTTGGCTCGACCAAAAATCGTTTATAAATGTGCTATATAAATAAAACTTGATTTGATTTGATTCTCATTGTTGTACCAACTTTAAAATGTTAGGATTAGGTTACTTTTAAATCAATCAATCAATGTTTATTGTAGGGCTGTCAAACGATTAAAAATGTTAATCAGATTAATCACAGTTTAAACATTTATTAATCATGATTAATCACCATTCGAACTATGTCCAAAATATGCCATTTATTTATGTATATTGTTGTGGGAATGGAAAGATAAATGAAAGAAGGCGGATATATCCATTTAACACAGTATCTATGTTTATTATAACATTTTTCTGCGTGTCAAAATGAAAGACAACCCACACACCTATCAATCATCAAACCGTGGGGTCTTAATTCATTACGTGTTGATTTCTATCAACGGGGGAGTACTTCAGGAAAGTCGACAGAGGGGGGGGGGGGGGCGGCGGCGGCTAGTGGAGTACTTCGTGACCACAGAGTGTGAACGTTGTGATCAGCTGTTTTAGCTCAGTTCTCCAGTGAAGGGGGGGGGGAGTCTCCCTCCGCAGCCGGTTGGCGTAGTTTTGGCACAATTCCGTTGTACAGACCGACGTTAACAGCAGCCCTGTCTGTGCACACGGAGACCGACTCTGTCGTCCGGTGATCTAACCGCCTTCTGGAAAAGCTTCACAAGTACGTCGGTACGCAAATGCGCTTTGTGACACAAGTGACGGTACGCATTTCAGATTACGCACATAACCTGCGTACCAGTTATGTGCACCCCTGTACTACAGCAAAAGTAACAACACCACGCCGTTATCAAAGATGTTCTATTGAGAAGACGATCACTACGTGACAAAAGTTTTCAAAACCGTGGCTACTGAAATCAATCTTACTAACTGCTGTCTGTGCAATTTACTCCGCGAGTTGGCAGACTTTATTTTGCTTACTTTAACATCATTTTTCATGGTGGGGCTAAGCCATTTCTTGGTATGGCTGTAGCCTACCCCAGCCATACCCTGGCGCTGCCACTGGTGGCACGTATGGGGCGGGCCATTCTGCACATGCGTTAAATGCGTTAAATATTTTAACGCAATTAATTCAAAAAATTAATTACCGCCGTTAACGCGATAATTTTGACAGCACTAGTTTATTGATATAGCCCAATATCACAAATGTTACATTTGTCTCAGCGGACTTCACAGTGTGTACAGAATATCAGTATGACAATACGACACCCTCTGTCCTTAGACCAGGGGTGGGGAACCTCCGGCCCCCGGGCCGTATACGGCCCGCGAGACCATTTGGTGTGGCGGTAATTTATAAACACACGCAAAAAAGAAAAAAATTAAAGAAATCTAGACCGCAAAATAATTAAACATGTGAGTGCCTGTTTTTCCTGGCCAAGCTCAGGGTCCTTGAACACAACACAAGCCTAACGTGTCATCACGTGGTATATGCAGGGCTGCACATAACTGGCGCACCTCCGCCAAAAAAAGAGCACCGGGTCATTTGAAACAAAGCGCATTTGCGTACCAACATTGAGAGAGGGGGAGAGAGAGAAGGGAAAAGAGAAAATAGAGAGAGAGAGATATGAACTCAGGGCCGGCCCATAGCACTGGCAAGATGTTCGCCTAGGGCGCCAGATCTGGGGAGGCGCTGCGCTGGCAGTTCTGGGAGGGAAAACAATATTTTGACCGTTGGGGCTCATCCTAATTTTTGGCCTTGATGTAACAATATTCATAATTAAGTAAATGTAACACCCTTTTCACCCCGGTTACACGTTTCATTTGCCCTGTACGCGCTGTAAGTGATGAAAATGGGGGATGTTGGCTTATCTGGCGCCCGCAGCTCACAGCCAAAGCAAGTGAGCGAGGGAGAGAGGGAGGGTGCACCGGTACCAGCGCTGTTGTTATTAGAATCTGGTGCCGTGCTAGCTGCTCTAACGGATATAAGAAGAAGATGTTTCTACAATAATGTGGAGGGAGAGTCCTCTCCAGTCAGACTGAGAGGCTGATACTACAGCTCAGTGAGGTAAAGGACTCTTGAGTGTTTAGATAGTTCACTTTAGTCTAAGTCAGTGGTTCTCAAACTTTTTCTGTCAGGCCCCCCCTTTGGAGAAAAAAAAAAAGTCGGGCCCCCCCAACACACATAGTCAGGCTCAGTGGCGGCGCCAGAGACTTCTTTTGGGGGTGCTGTGGGGTAGCTTGACGTTTCATAGAGGGTGCTCAAACATTTAGGGTTTCCCATTAATGTACCGGTCGCTACAGTGGAATTTTCTACTGCAACACTCTCCACACGCACATACACAGTGTTCCCGCAACTATTACAACGAAGGCTCGATAATCAGCTCACGGCATATAAGTGTAAGCAGGGGTAAAGTGCTATTTTTATAGGTGGTGTGTGGACACATTGAGAGCAAAATGAAGAGATCTATGGATACCTCTCAACACCCAGATGAAACGGAACTGTAAACAGATGTACTTTTTCTTTATGGATATTTTACAAATCACCCTTTTAAACGTTATTCTTTTTTTAATATCATATAGTATTTCATACCTGTTTTTCATTTATTCTCTTATTTTTGTATAACTATAATGATCATATAAATGTGTGCCTCGGAAATAATTGTTTACATTAATGGTGACCAAAACGTTTGAGACCCACTGAGATAACAATGAAAGAGTCCTTTAGTTCACTGAGTCTCTCAGTCTGACAGGAGAGGACTCTCCTCCACTTTGTTGTTGAAAAAACTCCTTATATCCGTTAGCGTAGCTCGCTAGCACCAGAAGCTAAGAACAACGATCTCCGGTACCGGTGCGCTCTCTCTCTCTCGCGCGCACACAAAATGGCTCTTTCCACACACACAGAGACCCAGACGTAATAGTACAGTACTGTATCATATTATTTTCGAATCAATAATTTTTCAAATTATGATTTTTCTTTTTTTTGTAATCTTTTTTTTTTGTTATATAACCATTTTTCCTCCTGGTCTTTCGCGCCCCCCCTGGCATGCCTCTGCGCCCCCCAGGGGGGACGCGCCCCACACTTTGAGAACCACTGGTCTAAGTTCAAACGGTTTGGTCACAATTTATGTAAACAAATATTTCCAAGGCACTGCTTT